GAGTTATGTTAGAAGTTGAAGGGAAAAGATAACTTACAGTGCAGTGTTCTTATATAGCTGAAGTTTCCAACAGTTATTATGTCTCACAAGTATCTTTAAAAATAGCATATTATTCATGTCTCATATTTCTCAGTTTGTAATGTGCTATGCCACAACTTCCTTTAGGGGAAGTTGGTGTTTTACCTTTAAGTTTTGATTTGGAGAAAGGTAAAGAACATGGACTTTAGTTAAAAGTCAGGCACATCTTTAAATCTTCGTCCTATCAGTAAGTAACATAGTGACACTGAAATACTGAAATACCATTGAGCATCCCTCATTTTCTCATAAGTGTTATGTAGATTGAGGGCTGGCAAACTTTTTTCTGTAAAGGGACAAATAGTCAAAATTTTAAGGTTTGCAGGAAAAATAGTCTCTGCTGCAAGGACATACTCAATTTTGCTACTGTAGCATGAGAGCAGCCATAGATAATAATACATCAACAAATAGGTGTGGCTGTGTTCCAAACAATCTGCGAATGCAAGCTGCAGGTTGGATCTTCCTATGAGCTTTAGTTTGCTGTCTTCTTTTGTTTTTTCCCCCTTTGGCATAGTAATTTTAATTAATTAATTTTACTTTAGGTGCATACTATATCTGGCATTTCTCCCCCTGTTATCCCTCCCCACCCTCCCCCATCCCCAGCCCCCACTGTCTCTCCCCTACCCCCCACCAACTGCCCCCAGTGTGGGATGTTCCTCTCCCTGATTCCATGTGTTCTCGTTGTTCAACACCCACCTATGAGTGAGAACATACGGTGTTTGGCTTTCTTTTCTTGTGTCAGTTTGCTGAGAATGATGTTGACTTCTGATATCAATAAAGATATTATGCCTCAGTGTTGTCTTAAAGACTGCATGCTATACATAAGATATGTGGAATGATTGATGCTGGCATAAAGTCAGCCCTATGACATAATTCATTCCCTCATTCTGTGCCTCTGTGGCCCCCTTTGCTGCTACTAGTGATCCACGTCAGAATGTAGGCAGGTAGGGGAATGCATTTTTCAGGGCATCAGACTATTCTGGAGAGTTTCTCTTTGCATCCTACTTACTATGTATAAAAGTACTTTTAAAGCTCTGAGCACAGTAGGAATGCCAGTGGTTTTTTTTTTTTTTTTCTCCCTGACATCCGGGCAAAGAGAAAAAGAAGGATTCCTAAAGAAAGTGACCCCTTGGCCCAAGGCAGCCTCTTAATTAAATCTTCCCGTTAGAACTTTGAGAAAAAGCGGAGATGATTGGACTGTGTCATCTTCCCCTCTGGGCAAAAGTTTTCCAATTTTGTTTTCTGGTTCTGTTTCTGATTTTATCTCCTTTGATGATGGTGGGTGCCTGTAATTCCAGCTACTTAGGAGGCTGAGGTGGGAGAATCCCTTGAACCAGGAGGTGGAGGTTACAGTGAGCCGAGATTGCATCATTGCACTGTAGCCTGGGTGACAGAGCGAGAATCCATCTCAAAAAAAAAAAAGTTATCTCTATCTGGATGGATAAAGAAGGGTAAGTTACATGTAAGATTTTAGTTTGAATAATTTTTATTTAAGCCTTATCCCAACATTGCAAGATGCAGATTTGTAGACAAGTATCTGTTGCTGTTGAACTGATACAAAGAAACAATCTACTGGATGATTGGTGTAGAGAATAACCCTACATATAACATTTATTGAGAGCATGTTATTTTTAAGAAAGTAATATATTTCTACTCTAGAAAATTTGGAAAATGTAGGAAAGTATATAGTTAAAAAAAATAAAAGGATAAAGCAAAACAATAAGAACTAAATATTTTCTCTCTCCCTCAAATATTGACATTAGACATTTTAATGCTTCTTGTCTTTTATAATAGTTGAACTCTATTTTTGTGAGTTTATAAAACTGGGATCATATCTTATGTTCATACGAATTCATTTGTAAGCTGCTCTCATGTATGAACACATTCTCATGTCTTTAAAAGCGTTTATGATGTAATTTTTAATGGCTGTGGAGGATTCCAGTGATTGAGATAACACATTTGGAGGCTGATCTTTCAAGGCCATTTAGAAATTTTCTCTTCTCCTTAGCACTTTTGTCATAATTTAAAACAAAAATCAAAGAAATTGAAACTCACATCAGTGTGTTTGCCTCTTTTGTAAAGTGGTAAGAGGTTTGATGCAGAAGAATCACAAAGACAACAGGATCGTCCTTTCCAGCTGGGTCAGGGTTAAAGGGATGCAACTGAGCATGGCTCTGTGTTGCATCCGGGCAGTCGGACCCCAGCATCAGTGACCAACCTGTTTCTTAGGGTACTGCCTCAACCATAGGGCTGCATGGTGACAATTCAGGAGTTGACATCTGCTCATGTCATATAGTCACCACGTACATGCCCTGTCTTGATTAATTGGGTTGTTTCATCTTAGACATTCTCCTAGTACTATGATAATGAGTTACCAAAGGGATAACCTCTTCAGAACTAATAATCTGTAACTCTTAGAGTACTGAATACATCAGCATCTTTCTAAAGATACAAAGCAATACAGCTGTGCGTTAGTAACATTTAACATTGTAACATTTGTGTCTGGATGAGTAGGAAACCTTATACTTTAGCAATTAACCCTTTTGTCTGTAGCATTAATGAATGAGATTAGAGTTGGATTTAAGGATTTGTTAAATGACAAAGTCCAGTGACCTTAATTACTCTAATGCCTTCCTAATCTTATCTGACCTGTGTAAATGAAACGCACTTTCGGCACATCATATGGTGAGGGATATGACTTTACAATGAGTAACTGCGGGTCAGAACTATACTGTTAAAAATGGAATGAGAAATAACAGAACATCCACTAATTTATGCATACATCTCTACAAATAAAACTAAAGAGACCTCAAGTCTGGGCCACTTAGTATCATCTGTCAATCCTGTTCTAACTTTAAATAAAAATTGCTTTCTTGCCCCCCAATTATAAAAATTTACTCACCCATTGTGAAAACAACAGATGATATAGCAACTTACAAAGGAAGAAAGTAAAAACCTTCCATAAATCTGATTGCTGAGATTTAATCGATGTTCACATTTTTATTTATATCCTTCTGGGAGTTTTTTTTCCATGCATGTATATGTAGAAATATGCATTTTACTACTATATAGAAATAGGATCACATTACACAAATTATTTAATAGTATTCTCTTTTTCAGGCTAAAGAATATATACTTGTCTGATATTGTCCCTCTTTCTATCATCAGACCACGGGACTTAATAGCTTTTGTTCTTCTTCAGAGCAGCCACCACCTCCCCAACTTCTTAAGGTCTCTCCCCAAGACCCCCTGCAGAAGACAATACAGCCTCCCCAAGTTTGGTCAGCTTGCTCTCCACAAAGCCCAATGCACAGACCATTATTGGGAATTTTATTGCTAACTGAGTAAGAAAACAGAAGGATATAAAAATAAAAACCATGGCAGATTGTATAGGTCTGACACATTAAGACCTTCCTGTTCCTTGGCTGGGTAGTGCTTCGGGGCCCTGAAAGTTAATTGTCCTTATTAATTGTGGGTGGAAACCTCACCAATATTCCCCCTTACTTAGACATTTTCCTACCTTGAGCTCCTTAAGATTAGTGATTCAAACTATCTGAGGATATTCCGTTGTATTTTATGGAGTTTTTTTTTTCTTTAAAAAAATGTTTGTGGAAAAATACATGTAACATAAAATGTATTATTTTACTGATTTTAAGTATGTAGTACAGTAGCATTAAGTACCTTCACACTGTTGTACACCTGTTACCACTGTTCACACCAAAACTTTTTCATCACCCCAACCTGAAGCTGTACCCACTGAACATCAGATCCCCCTTTCCCCCCAGCCCCTGACACCACCATTCTAATTTCTAGCTCATGAACTTGACTATTCTAGCTACTTCACATAAACAGGATCATACAATATTGTACTTTTGAGATGGGCTTATTTCACTTAGCATAATGTCCTCCAAGTTCAGCCATGTTATCTCATATGCTATAATTTCCTTTCTTTTTAAGACTAAATAAATTTCATTCACATTTTGTTCAACCATTTATGCATGGATGGACACGGGTTGCTTCCACCTTTTGGCTATTGTAGATAATGCTGCAATGAACCTGAGTGTAAAACTGTCTGAGTCCCGGCTTTCTGTTATTTTTGCGTATATACCCAGAAGTGAAAATGCTGGATAATTCTATTTTTAATTTTTTGAGGAAACATACCGTTTTCCACAGTGTCTGCACCATTTTATGTTCCCACCAGTTTCACTTTCTCTACTTTCCTACCAACAGTTGTTATCTGCTGGTATATTTTTTCCCCGTAATAGCCATCTTAATGAGTGTGAGGTGATATCTCATTGTGGATTTGATTTGTGTTTTCCTAATGATTAGTTATATTGGCATCTTTTCATATGCTGATTAGCCATTTGTATACCGTAGTCCTCCTTATGGGCAGAGATGTGTTCCAAGACCTCCAGAGGATGCCTGAAATCTCAGCTACTATCAACCCTGATGTTCATTTCGTCTGGCCACAAATTTAATGCCTTTTCCATCTTAACTAAACATTTATGTACTGTAGCCACAACTTCTGCAGTATGAGGTCTGACAGCAAAATTAGTGCAAATGTCTTCTTTTCATCTTCTCAATTTCATGGATAGAAGATTCGTTCTTACCGAGATCTTAGCAACCTCAGCATACACATTTTTTCTTTCCTAATTAAGTTGAGAACTTTCACCTTTTTACTTAATTGAAGCACTTCATAGTTTCTCTTTTTCATATCCAAATTGCCAGCATCTATTCTCCCTTGGGAGGATACAGTATTCATCTTTTTTGCCCTTTTGCCCCTTCTGCCATGTGAGGATGCAGCAAGAAGGCCTCACCAGACTCCAAATGCTGGTGCCTTGATCTTAGACTTTTCAGCATTCAGAACTGTAAGAAATTAACTTCTCTTCTTATAAATTACTTAGTCTGTGGTATTTCTATTACAGCTACACAGATGGACTGATACAAATGAGGAATAAACAAGATGAGCCTTACTATTGCCTCAGCTTTCGATGTGGAGGCAGCCTGAAAGCACACCTCCAGGGGACCAAATTAATCCCTTGTAACATTACTACAAGCCAGAACGAAGTCCACCACTATGTAAAAGAATACAGCAACATCCAACACCCAACTACAAAAAAATTCATGCTCTCCATAATCCAACAAAAAATTATTAGGTCTGCAAAGAATCAAAATATAATCCATAAACAGAAAAAAGAAACCAACTGGTAGAAGTGAATTATGATAAAAAATAAAATGGGAAAATTGAAATAGAACATATAAACCCTCATTTCTTTTAATTATTAGATTTAATGGACATTAAAAATTTACATTGCTCAAGTTCCCATAAAATTTCTAAGGGCTTACTCCCAAGTTTTGTAATACTTATGGCTCTGTGAACTGGTAACAATTCCCACACTGGTCTCTGGACCATACCGTGTGTAGTCCTATTTAGGCCAACTTCTTTTTACCCCTAGCAGATTGACCTGAATATGCAGTTAGGGGAAAAAAAATCATGTTTGAATATTTGTTTATATAAGAGTGTTGTATCCTTAAGTGAATTTCTATTCCTCCAGGGAGTCCAGACTAAGTGGCTCCCATCTCAGTGATTTCCAGCACCATTCTAGATCCCAGGGGAACACATGAGGTAAAGGCTCGAGGTTTTAGAGTGAAATGTGTCAGAGAAATTTTTATGAGAGGCCTAATTAGCACAGTCATTTAGAAAAGTAGAAACACAGGTTTTAAGTAAAATGCTTCTGAGCCTAATTATTTCCTCTTTTAGCATGGACTTTAGAGGAAACTGCACTAAATCATTTTGAAAACAGATTATCAGTTCATGATGCTGAAAACTAATTATTGAGTGAATTGAATCTTGTACTTGTTGTAACTGCTAAGCATGAAGACACGTGAGAACCACCATAGGGCTCTTCACCAGCCACCTCCTCCACTCAAGCAAATGTCCATGGACGCGTTGTTCCAGAAGAGTATGGCGTGTTTGATTAATTAACAGCAGTTTTCCCTTTCAGTCCTCAAGATCACCACTCAGCCTACCCAGGTTCAAAACTTTTGTGTGTGATGAAGCTAGGAGGAAAAAGAGAAAAAAGATGAAATAAATGTAAATAAAATAGAAATATACAAATGTCATTGATTAATTTTATTTGTTACTTTCATTTTGGAACCCATTGCAACCTACCTATCATGTCTTTTGAGTTCTTTTGTTTCTCATTTATAAAAAAGATATAATGATAATTGTACCTACTACGTAATGTATAATTGAGTTCACATGTGGAAATAAATTGGCACCTGTAGAGTGTTCAATACATATTAACTCCCTATGTTCATATGTATTTGCTTCTTTCCTTCATTCTTTCTTTTTTTTTTGAGACAGAGTTTCTCTCTTGTTACCCAGGCTGGAGTGCAATGGCGCGATCTCGGATCACCGTAACCTCCGCCTCCTGGGTTCAGGCAATTCTCCTGCCTCAGCCTCCTGAGTAGCTGGGATTACAGGCACACACCACCATGTCCAGCTAATTTTTTTGTATTTTTAGTAGAGATGGGGTTTCACCATGTTGACCAGGATGGTCTCGATCTCTTGACCTTGTGATCCACCCACCTCGGCCTCCCAAAGTGCTGGGAATACAGGCTTGAGCCACCACACCCGGCCTCTTTCCTTTATTCTAAACCACTCAAGAACCATATAGTATCTGGGTGATCAATTTTTAAAAAATTATGCAATTGGTTTAAATTAAAAGCACTGATATTATTTCACAAAATATAGCACTGTTTAAGTTAGAGCATTTTCATTAGTTTCTGTGATAAAAGCATGTCTCATCAAGGCCAAGGAGTTGACTCCTGAGGTGTGGGTGGTATGACTGATCTTTGAGGGCAGGCTGCCTGACATGTGGTTCATCCTCCTCACAAAGGGTCATCATCTCCTTTTGTTTTTTTTTATGGACTCATTAGTATCCATGTCTTATGCCTGGGTCATTTTGGTTTACTGGTAAGAAAAGCAATTACATGGCAGAGCACTCAGTGATGCCTACCCTGTCTAGATTTTGCCACATGAACCTTACAAATGCCCAGAAGAGTGAGAAATGTGATGCACTTACAGTCTAGGTCCAAAGCTAAGGATGATAAATTGCCCTTTTTATTTATAAGTTCCAAGTCCACATCCCTTTATTCTGCTGTATAAAATAGAATCTCTTGGTGATTGCTTTAAGGTCCTAGATGATGCTCTGCCAAGACATGAAGAGGCTCTCTGGATGTGGGTGTTCATATCTGAAACCCTTTGTGGGTACCTGGTCTGGTCACAGACAACTACAGAAAGTCTGGAGCTGGTCACAGTGGCTCATATCTTTAATCCTGGCACTTTGAGAGTCTGAGGCAAGAGGATTGCTTGAAGTGAATAGTTCAAGACCAGGCAGGGCAACATAGACTCCATCTCTACAAAAGTTTAAAAAAAAAGAAAGAAATTAGCCAGGGTGATGGTACATGCCTGTAGTCCCCTGATATAGTTTGGCTGTGTCCCCACCCAAATCTCATCTTGAATTCTCATGTGTTGTGGGAGGGATCTGGTGGGAGGTAATTGAAACATGGGGCCAAGTCTTTCCCATGCTGTTAATAAGTCCCAAAAGATCTGATGGTTTTAAAAAGAGGAGTTCCCCTGCACATGTTCTCTCTCTTTGCCTGCTGCCATCCATGTAAGATGTGACTTGCTCCTCCTTGCCTGCTGCCATGATTGTGAGGCCTCTTCAGCCATGTGGACCTGTAAGTCCAATTAAACCTCTTTCTTTTGTAAATTGCCCAGTCTTGGGTGTATCTTTATCAGCAGCATGAAAATGGATTAATATATCCCCCAGTTACTTGGGAGGCTGAGGAAAATTGCTTGGGCCCAGAAGGTTGAGGCTGCAGTGAGCTATAAGCACATGACTGCATTTCAGCCTGGGTAACAGAGTGAGATCCTATCTTTTAAACATATTAAAAATGCATACATACATACATACGTATATAAGTAAAATCTGAAGACAGCACCTTTCCTTCTAACAGGGGGTTGCTGAGTTTCTTTATAGATTTCAGTGACTGCTCCCTACATGAATGTGGAAACTTCTCATAAGATGGAGAGTGTGTTCCTAGAGATGAATAATTACTTTTGGTAGCAGTAAATAAAATTATTTTGAAATGGATTGAAGGTCTCGTCTATAGAGAAAGAACTCTTTTAGTTATCCTTATGCTTGGCTAAATTGGTTTTCTGAAATGAGAATGTAATATGCCTGAGAGACTGAGTGTTCATATTGAATTATTTTCATCTAAAAATAATAATTTACAGAGGCAGAGGTGAGCTTTTGTGCTAAACTAGAAGTAGCAAAAACTTAGGTAATAAGGAATTTATTTTTTATTTTTCTGCTTTCTAACTTTCCTCCTTGACATTCTCTAAATTACTACTTTTGACCACTTTTAAAAAATTCTGTGTGTCCTCTCTTGACACAGTGTGCCAGTCTCTTGGCTTTATGATAGAGAGCCAGTACTCTCTCTATAGTTGTAAGAATTCTTGTTATATGTAATAATAAATCTCTATCGTCTAAGCCATCTTGATTTTGTGTTCTGTTCCTTGCATTGGAAAGCACCTTGATTGTTTTTCCTCTAAACAATATTGGGAGAATGAATCATTCTAAAGCGAAGTCATCATCATGTCACTCCCATGCATAGAAATCATAGTAGTTTCCTACTCCCTACCAAAAAACAAAAAACCAAATTTATAATGTAGTACTTAAGGCTTTCCTAAATTTTGTCCCAATCCACCTTTCCAAGCTTGTTTCCCATATGCTTAGTGTACATGGTCCCTTCCATGGGTTACAATACTTTAAGAGCTGCAGTGAGGGAGAGTGGAGAGGGATGCAGCTGGGCCTGACCCTAGACCAAAGTGCCCCTTGTCCCTCCTCTCCTCTTCCAGTTTCCACCCTGCCTCCAAAAAATGAATGGGGAACTAGCTGGTATCACTTTGATTTTGACCTAAAATTTCATTTCTGTTTGAGAGGAATAAATCATTGTTATTAAATTTTTCCATGTCTCAATGCAGAAAAAAAGAACAAGTTTGGGTGTCCTGACAGATGAAGGTTGCCTTTGAGAACATGGTTCCTAGACACCTCAGCTCCAGGAGAAGCACTGCAATGTGGTAACCCTGGTCATATCACCTGTACTAGATGAGAGGTTTTTCTTTGGCAGCAGGAGGTATATCCAGAGAATGCTGAAGCTCCAAGACTAAATTCAGCAGCAGAGATCAACAAAGAAGAACAAGGCACACTGCTGGCCAGCATAAAGGGGTGCAGCCAGCAAGTGCTGAACCGCTGCACTGCCTCAGCTGCTGAGTCTAAGAACAACTCTGAGAGCCTGCCCCTGTGGGTGATGCAAGCTCAGGAGTTCCATCGGTGCACTCCAGTCACATTAAAGCAAGGGGCTCTCCAACAAGAAAGAGCATCAAAGCCCTAAGTCAAAGTCAAAGGGGATGGATTCTGCCTTTACAGTGATATTCCTATTGGAAAGCCCCACCTGGTTTCCAAATTTTCCAGTCTGAACATGGGAGCTTGTCAATCAGTTCTAGACACCTCCGTGACACCAAGAGTAGAAGCCACACCCCTAAAGCACTTCTTAACCTAGGTGGGAGCATGGGCCTGATGAAAGACTGGAAGTGGTGCCAAGGGAGGCATTCCTACCCACTCCTTTGGTCTAACAGGTTCTTAGACTAAGGAATGTAATTCTGCTGACCACATACTTGTGGATTCCCAGCACACAACATACTTGATGATGCCCTCAGATTCTCTGGCCCACAGCTCTTCCATACCCTCCCATAGCCAGACTACTGCACAGAGTCCACACACCTTCTTAGAAGACATGAGCCCAAGTGGTGCATGTGCTTTCAAGCTGCAGAAGCCTTATTGAAAGATCAGGTTGAAACTTATGCCTCTTTCCACATCCAGAAAATTCCTAGCAGCAAGCTAGAGAGAAGCAAAACCCTGAACACACAGATATCTGCCTTTGGAATGATCCAAAACTTTTCCCACAGCAGCCTCCAGCTCCAGCCAACCAGGGCCAGATGTGCCTTTCTAGATTTTCAGGAATGATAATCTCTGAAATGTAAGGGCCAAAAGTCTCCAACTCTGCATCCAATCCTAGTCTTTCTGGAGTCAGTTGGCCAGACAATGTGCCAAAAATTCCAGGTGATGGACACTCTCTGGGCAAAGAGGTCTTCAGTGGTCTTGGGGTACACTCCCCAAATACCCAAAGATTGTTTTCTGAGACATTTTAATAGCAGCTGGCGAGAAAGAGTGAGGTCTTCCCCCTTGGGATAAGCACAGCTGACATAGGCCCAGCATAGAGATGACTAGGATGACCCCAGGTTCTTGGTGAATATTTCCATTTTCCCTTGACCAGTTGAGGGACCTCTGAATCCTACCAGGGAATAATTTTTCAAAGCATCACCCCACAGGTGGGCCTACTTGGGAATTTGAGTTTGTGGTGGTTCTTAATGTCATGAATGAAAATGTCCATCTGAACAGCAAACATGGGATCTAGCTCTCAGATGATACCTCAAAAGATAAGATGCTTTTCTGGGGAGATGGTGCCCTGGAGAGATGGTGAAGTACAGTCAGGTAGCTCAGCTGCCACCTGTTCAGTAGAAGATGGTACCCCTGCCATGTGGTGAGCACCCTTAGCAGGAAGATGACATGGGCTTCCGGTCATTCCTTCCCATATCTTAGGGTCCAAATAGCAACAGGGGTTGGTGGAATCTTAGCAAACCAATCAGACCCAATAAAAGGACTAACAGTCAGCTCAGCCATAGCCACTACTACCTTTCAACCCTCCCAGAAACCCCTTTAGCTTCAATACAGCTTCCGCTGTTTAACACGGCCTGAGGCAGTAGCCCTTAAATAAATCTGTGGCAGGCAGTCAGGTGTGTTCTCTTGATATGAAATCTCCCACCCTACACAGTCCAGTCCACAATGCGGGACTTGCCTTCACTTGGGGAACCTCAGGTTTCCCCAGATCCCATCATATGTAGTAGGCCTAGTGGCATATAAAGATGCTGCTGCTTCCATTAAACTGCACCATCTTGAAGTGAGCAGGTTTGGGAAAGGATAGGCTCTGGAGACAAGTTGTACTAGACAAGAGACTTCTGCAGATTATTTGATGTATGATAGCTTGAATGTACATTACGATGACTTAAGCGTCCAACTCTGCAAAGTCCAGTTCTACCAGATTATATCATGACAATATCAAGCTGGTGGTTAACTCAAATGAAAACTCCCCTCCAACTCCTTCACCCAACTTGTC